GCCCCTTTTAAACTGTGAATGTGGAATTTAGGTGAGGAGACACTTTTATTTAGAAGGGAAGCTAGAACAATGATCTAGAAATTACATTTCCTGCCCTGACTGCCTTTGAACCATGGTCCTCAAATCTCAGCCTCTTGAGCAACTAGGATTACAGGCATGAGCCAACAACACCTGGCAATTTCAAAGGCTTCACTACTGGTCAGTTATTTTTCCAAATTGTTCCAATTAAGTTCCCCACTTGGCTAATGTTGGGATCTGCATAATGCGGTGTTTTTGTTTTTTGCAAGGGTGAGGGGAGGCTGGAACTTCACCAAGATCGCACCCAGCCAGCTATGGAGTATTTGGTCCATAGTTTAACCTTTTGTGTGCCATTCAGAGATGAGTATACCACAATGAATTATTTATTTAAGGTTTCCTTATGAAGGTATACATTTCCTTAGCTCCCTTTAGGGCAAGAAGCCAATAAGCATTTGTGTACCATCCTGTGTATGCCATAGGACCAATCTGTACCCTGTGAGGTTTTATTTTATTAAGGTGATGTACAGAGGGATTACCATTTCTTGAGTCTGGTAATAAGTACATTTGTTTTTGTGCAGTGTCACCCCTTCGCTTGCTCTCTCCCAGTTTTCCCCTCCTGTCCCATGCACGAGTTGTATAGTTCATTTTCAACATAGTGTCTAATGAGTACCATTGCCACACTTATTCACCCTTTCTCCCTCCATTTCTTTTTTTTTTGGGTCTGGTCGTGGGGCCTGAACTCGGCCTGGGCGCTGTCCCTCAGCTCTTCAGCTCAAGGCTAGCGCTCTACCACTTGAGCCACAGTGCCACTTCCGGCTTTTTTCTTTTTGCTTATGTGGTGCTGAGGAATCGAACCCAGGGCCTCATGCATGCAAGGCAAGCGCTCTACCACTGAGCCACCTTCCCAGCCCCGCTGTCCCTCCATTTCTGTGCCCCTGTTGTCTCCCCAAAAGACAGATCAGCAAACAGGCAAGACAAAAGGAACAAGAAACAAAGAAAAAAAACCCCAAAACAAACACAATGCCCTCTTGACCAACAGCAGCAGCAGCAGCAAAAAAAAAAAAAAAGCACCCTTCCATTCCTGGAATTCATTTTGATAAATATTATTTTAAATGTTCCGAGGCATTGTGCCTTTGGGTTCCTCCCCTGAGCATCCTCCTGTGTGTGCCTGTGGATTTTTTTTAACTTTTTATTTTTTTGTGCCAGTTCTGTGGCTTGAACTCAGGTCCTTGTCACTGTCCCTGAGCTTCTGTGCTCAAGGCTAGACGCTAGGACTCTACCATGTTGATTCATATCTTGCCTTTGCTAATTAATTGGAGATAAGAATCTCACAGAGTAGCTGGGAATGTGGCTTAGTGACAGAGTGTTTGCCTAGCATACATGAAGCCCTGGGTTCAATTCCTCAGTACCACAGAAACAGAAAAAGCTGAAAGTAGCACTATGGCTCAAATGGTAGAGTGCTAACCTTGAGCAAAAGAAACTCAGGGACAGTGCCTAGGCCCTGAGTTCAAGCCCCAGGACTGGCAAAAAAAAAATTAAAAAGACTCAGATTTTCCTGCCTGGGCTGGCTTTGAGCCATAATTCTCAGATCTCAGCCTCCTGGGTAGCTAGGATTACAGGAGTGAGTTGTACCATAAATCAGGCATTGAGTACAACTAGGTTTTCTTTTGTGTGTTTGTTCTGTTTTTTTTTTTTTTTGGATGGTCATGGGGCTTGAACTTTGGGCCAAGGCGTTGTCCCTTAGCTCTTCAGCTCTTCAGCCTAAGGCAGGTGCTCTACCACTTGAGCCACAGCGCCACTTCCAGTTTTCTGATGGTTAATTAGGTAGGAATCTCAGAAAGCTGGGCTCCGGTGGCTCACGCCTGTAATCCTAGCTACTGAGGAGGTGAGATCTGAGGATCATGGTTCAAAGCCAGCCCCGGCAGGAAAGTCCCGGAGACTCTTATCTCCAATAAACCACTAGAAAACCAGAAGTGGCGCTGTGGCTCAAGCGGTGGAGTGCTCACCCTGAGCTGAAGAGCTGAGAGACAACGCCTAGGCCCAGAGTTCAAGCCCCACGACCGATTCCCCCCCAAAAAAGTCTCACGGACTTTCCTGCCCGTGGTTGGCTTTGAATGCCATCCTTAGATCTCAGCCGCCTGAGCAGTGAGGATTACAGGCATGAGCCACCAGTGCCAGACCTGAGAGATAACATTCTTTCACTAGAATCACAGTACCACTTCAGGTAATTTTGGTTGTTAATTGGAGATAACAGTCTCACAGACTTTTCTACCTAGTCTTTGAACTGTGATCTTTATCCCAAACTTTTTTTTTTTGGTTGGTCGTGGGGCTTGGATTCTGGGTTGGGCGCTGTCCCTCAGCTCTTCAGCTCAAGGCTAGCGCTCTAGCACTTTAGCCACACTGCCACTTCTATGAGTACAATTGTTTTTGGACAATGTTATCCATTCCTTTGCTTTCCCCCGGTTTTTCCCTCTCCCCCCTGCCCACAAGTTGTTAAAGTTCATTTTCCAGGTAGTGTCTGCTGAATACCATAAGTGCATTTGTTTACCCTTCCTCTCTCCATTTCTGTACCCACTGCTTTACTTCCCGTGTGTGTGTGTGTGTGTGTGTGTGTGTGTGTATGTGTGTGTGTGTGTGTGTGTGTGTGTGCGCGCGCACGCGCGCGCGCTACTCCTGGAGTTTGAACTCAGGGCCTAGATGTTGAGCCTGATCTTTTTGCTCAAGGGTAGCGCCACTTGAGCCACAGCTGCACTTTTGGCTTTTTGCTGATTGAATATAAGTCATGGACTTTCCTAATAGAGCTAGCCTCGAATCGTGATCCTCAGATCTCAGCCTCCTGAGTAGCTAGGATTACAAGCATGAGCCACCAGTAGTAGGTTCCTGAGGGTTTTAATGTGACATTCAATTTAAACAGCTCACCTTTCCTAATAGTGGTGAGGGCTTATATTTGGGTCAGGAATTTTGTAGCCTTACAAAGGCAATGTATTTAACATTTGTCCAATGCTAGGTGGCACCCTTTTTATGCCAATGAATACAATAGAGCCACAGTTAAAGCCACATACAGAATGAATGCCCACCAATATCCTAAAAGACCTTAAAAGGGTTGTAAGTTTTATTCTGGAATGCAGGGAAACTCTGGATCTTATTAATTATAGTATCAGACCCATTTGTGTCTTCCCCCGCCAGACAACATCCAAGACTTTGACAGAACATCCAGATCCCTGAACTTGTGGATCATTGACAGCCCACTCCCTTTGTTCCAGGGCTGATAGAAGTGACATAGAGATGCTGGGAGCTGGTGGTTCAATCCTGTAATCCTTAGGAGGTTAAGATCTGAGGAACTTGGTTCCAAGCCAGTCTGGGCAGGAAAATCCTAGAGACTCTTATCTCTAATTAACCACCCAAAACCCGGAAGTGGCACTGTGTGGCTCAAAGTGGTAGAGTACTTGCCTTGAGCTGAAGAGTTGCTCAGGGACTGTGCCCAGGCCCAGGGAGAAGCCCAATGACCAACCAAAAAAAAAAAAAAGCAAAGATATTAGCTAAATCTGTTACATAATGGCATTGTCCTAAATGTGGAGTCCATTATCCAATATGTCCTTGGGAGCGGGCACAGTGGTGAGCAGCAGCAGTATGACTTTGTTTAGTTCCCTATGTCATATGTCATGTTTCATTTGGCTTTTGTACTGGCCACACAGGACAATTGTATGAGCTATGCACTGGACGAATCAAATATGTCATTTCCTACTCTGAAATTATTTCCATGATTTCATCATATCCTCCAGGCAATCCATAGTGACTCATATATATATATATATATATATATATATATATATATATATATATATATATATATGGATGATGTGGAAGGCCCTTTGTCACAGATATTTTTGTTGTGGATTTGGGTTTTTTTTTGCCAGTACTAGGGCTTGAACTTGGGGCCTAGGTACCGTCCCTGAGCTTCTTTGCTTGAGCCACAGTGCCCCTTCTAGCTTTTTCTGTTTATGTGGTACTGAGGATTCGAACCCAGGGCTTCATGTAAGGGAGGCAAGCACTCTACCACTAAGTCACATTCCCAGCCCCCCCAATATATATTTTGATACAGGAAATCATAAAATTAATAGGACCAGTGCACCAAATGCCCAGTTTCCAATGTCATGTGTGTCTTCATAACATATATGGACCATATCCAGCCATTGCTACAGTTTCTGGAACTTCGTAGTATTGCCACATAAAGGTATGTGTTCTGCCCCAGTATTTACCAGAGCAAGAACATTTCATATATATTTCGTATATTGTGGAGAGGAAAGCAATACACACACACACACAGAGTCCTATACAAGGCCATAAATTATGTATTCTCCTGCCCTCCTAATATGCAGGCCATCTCATCAGTTCTTTTTTTTTTTTTTTTTTTTGGGTCCGGTCGTGGGGCCTGAATTCTGGGCCTGGGTGCTGTTCCTCAGTTCTTCAGCTCAAGGCTAGAGCTCTACCACTTGAGCCACAGCGCCACTTCCGGCTTTTTTTCTTTTTGCTTATGTGGTGCTGAGGAATCGAACCCAGGGCCTCAGGCATGCAAGGCAAGCGCTCTACCACTGAGCCATCTTCCCAGCCCCCTCACCAACTCTTTATTTCTTTATTTCTGAGATCCTCAGATCTCAGCCTTTTGAGTGGCTAAGGTTACACTGGTGCCCAGCTTTCATGTCTTTTTTTTTTTTTTTTTGTCAGTTGTGGGGCTTGAACTCTGGGCCTGTGCGCTGTCCATGCACTCTTCAGCTCAAGGCGAGCGCTCTACCTCGTGAGCCACAGTGCCACTTCTAGTGGTTTATTGGAGATCAATCTCACGGACTTTTCTGCTCAGACTGGGTTTGAACTGTGATCCTCAGATCTCAGCCTCCTGAGTAGCTAGGATTACAGGCGTGAGCCACCGGCGCCCAGCTCATCAGTCTTTTTTTTTTTTAATACAACTTATAAAGTTACTGAACAGCTTTTTTGTCTTCCCCCTGGATGGCCCCTCTTTTTTGTGTTCCAGTCACAGGGCTTGAGCTCAGCCTGGGCAGTGTCCCTGGGTTTCTTTTCCTCAAAGTTACTGTTCTTTTTTTTTATCTTCCGCCAGTTGTGGGGCTTGAACTCTGGGCCTGGGCGCTGTCCCTCAGCTCTTGAGATCAAGAATAGCGCTGATCACTTGAGTCACAGTGCCACTTTTGGTTTTTTCTTTTTTTGGGGGGGGTCCGGTTGTGGGGCCTGAACTCTGGGCCTGGGCGCTGTCCCTCAGCTCTTCAGCTCAAGGCTACCACTCTACCACTTGAGCCACAGCGCCAGTTCCGGCTTTTTTTCTTTTTGCTTATGTGGTGCTGAGGAATCGAACCCAGGGCCTCATGCATGCAAGGCAAGCGTTCTACCACTGAGCCACCTTCCCAGCCCACTTTTGGTTTTTTCTGTTTAGGTGGTGCTGAGGATTGAACCCAGGGCTTCATGCATACGAGGCAAGCACTCTACTACTGAGCCACCTTCCCAGCCCTCAAAGTTAGTGTTCTACCACTTGAGCCACAGCTCCACTTCTGGCTTTTTGGTGGTTGATTGGAAATACGTCTCATAGACTTTCCTGCCTTGGCTGGCTGCAAACAGATCCTCAGATCTCAGCCTCCTGAGTAGCTAGGATTACAGGCAAGAGCCACCAGTGCCTGTCAAAAAACCAAACAAAAAAAAAACACACACCATATTTTTGTTCCAAAGAAAGGTCTTTCTACCAGAGAAAGGTCTTTCTACCATGAAAATAGGATAGCTGAAGCCAGGCGCCGGTGGCTCATGCCTGTAATCCTAGCTACTCAGGAGGCCGAGACCTAAGGATCGCGGTTCAAAGCCAGCCCGGGGAAGGAAAGTCCGTGAGACTCTTATCTCCAATAAACCACCAGAAAACTGGAAGTGGCGCTGTAGCTCAAGTGGTAGAGTGCTCGCCTTGAGCTGAAGAGCTGAGGGACAGGGCTCAGGCCCAGAGTTCAAGCCCCACAACAGACAGAACAAAACAGAAGAGAGGATAGCTGTTGATTGCCTGTCTATGTCAGCTGTGGTCACTAGATGTCCCCACATCATTAGGTGGGATACTTTTTATGGGTCCCCATAGCAGCTTGCTGTTTGTGTCCTGATTGGCTTTTATTTCTTCACCTCATTGTTTTTATGTTTTGTTAGCTTTTTTTTTTTTTTTTTTTTTTGCCGGTCCTGGGGCCTGAACTCTGGGCCTGGGCGCTGTCCCTCAGCTCTTCAGCTCAAGGCTAGCGCTCTACCACTTGAGCCACAGCGCCACTTCCGGCTTTTTTCTTTTTGCTTATGTGGTGCTGAGGAATCGAACCCAGGGCCTCATGCATGTGAGGCAAGCACTCTACCACTGAGCCACCTTCCCAGCCCTGTTAGCATTTTATATTTCATCTTTTATTAACTTCCAAAAATATTCTAACTTATCAGGAAGTAGAGGAAGAATGTGCTGACCTCCATGTGTTCATTCCTCACACTGGTGCCCATTCTTGGACTTGAACTCAGGGGCCTAGGCATAGTTCCTGAGCTTCTGTGCTCAAGAGTAGCACTCTACCACTTGCACCACAGCTCCACTTCCGGCGGTTTTTTTGTGTGTGTGTGATAAACTGAAGAGTCTCAAAGACTTCCTGCTTGGGCTGGCTTTGAACCACGATCTTAAGATCTCAGCCTTCTAAGTAGATAGGATTACGGGCATGAGCTATTTTTTTTTCTTCAATTACATTAGGTACTCTAAGGCATTTTGAGGGTTGTGCAGTGTGACAAAGGCATTGTGGTTGCCCAGAGTTCAGGCCCCACAACCAACAACAACAAAAAAAAAAAACCCGAAAAAAAAAAAAGCCATGTGCTGGTGGCTCAGGCTTGTCACCTTAGCTACTGAGGAGGCTAAGGTCTGACTCAGAGTCACCCTAGGCAGATAGATTGGAGAGACTCTTATTTCCATTAATCATCAAAATACTGGAAGGGGAGGTGTGGCTCATGAGGTAGAAAGCCAGTGGAAAGAGCTAAGTGAGGGCCCCCTGAGTTCAAGCCCCAGTACTGACACATACATTAAAAAAAAACAAAAACAAAAAAAAACAACCAACCACCTGCAGATGGGAATATGGCTTAGTAGTAGAGAGCTTGCCTAGCATACATGAAGTCCTGGTTTCGATTCCTCAGTACCACATAAACAGAAAAAGCCCAAAGTGGCGCTGTGGCTCACATGGTAGAGCACTAACTAGCCTTGAGCAAAAGAAGCTCAGGGACAGTTAGGCAGCCCTGAGTTCAAGCACCAGGACTGGCCAAAAAAAAAAAAAAAACCCAAAAAACAAAAACCAAAAAACCCCTAAAATATTGATTAGAGAAAAACAAAACAAAATAATTCTCGGGTGCCAAACCATACACATCACAAATGCCAAGGCTTTAATGCTTTATCTTTTCTGTGCATCTTGCAAATAAGAGGCAGCAGGATGACTCAGGACTCCTGGTGGTGGATGGCAATATTGAGGATGTTGAGAGACCACTTAGGCTCATTTGGTATGAGTTTAAGGACTCTCAGCTAAACCCTTTACCTGTAGCACAAGTGATGATTAGTGTATTCCAATGCATGCTTTGGAAATAATGACTCCCAGCTGGGGAAAACTTATTAGCATAACTATGTATTGGCTCCTTCCAGTATCCAGGCTCAGAAAGGATCTATTCAGTCAGAACTTACCAGCTATTAATACCTAATTATGGCTCTGTGGCCAAAAAGTATAGCTACAGAATGTAGGGTCTCAACTTCTTTTTATATTCTTCAGATAAAATGAATGAAATGCGTTCTCCTTTCCCACCCCATCCCTCAAACACCACTCCAATGTAACTTCCAGGAAACTTCACTGACTTCCCAATATGGATTCTATATTTTTATTCTGTTTAGGACAATTTTTTTTTTTGGTTATGGAGCTTGAACTCTGGGCCTGGGTGCTGTCCCTCAGCTCTTCAGCTCAAGGCGAGTGCTCTGCCACTTGAGCCACAGTGCCACTTCTGGTTTTCTGGTGGTTTATTGGACATAAGAATTTCACGGGGGCTGGGAAGGTGGCTCAGTGATAGAGTGCTTGCCTTGCATGCCTGAGGCCCTGGATTCGATTCCTCAACACCACATAAGCAAAAAGAAAAAAGCTGGAACTGGTGCTGTGGCTCAAGTGGTAGAGTGCTAGCCTTGAGCTGAAGAGCTGAGGGACAGCACCCAGCCCAGGCCCAGAGTTCAGGACCCATGACTGGACAAAAAAAAAAAAAAAAGAGCTTCACCAACTTTCCTGCCTGTGCTGGCTTTGAACCACGATCCTCAGATCTCAGCCTCCTGAGTAGCTAGGATTACAGGCGTGAGGCACCAGTGCCCGGCTAGGACAATTCTTTTTTTTTTTTTTTTGGTCGGTCGTGGGGGCTTGAACTCTGGGCCTGGGCGCTGTCCCTCAGCTCTTCAGCTCAAGGCGAGCGCTCTACCACTTGAGCTACAGCGCCACTTCCGGTTTTCTGGTGGTTTATTGGAGATAGGAGTCTCACGGTCTCTCTCTCCTGCCCGGGCTGGCTTTGAACCGCGATCCTCAGATCTCAGCCTCCTGAGTAGCAAGGATTACAGGCGTGAGCCACCAGCGCCCGGCTAGGACAATTCTTTTACTTCGCTTTCTTTTTCTTTTCCAGTCCTGGGGCTTGAATTTAGGGCCTGGGCGCTGTCCCTGAGCTTCTTTTGCTCAAGGTTAGCATTCTACCACTGGAGCCACAGCACCACTTCTGGATTTTTCTGTTTAAGTTGTACTTAGAAATCAAACCCAGAGGGGCTGGGAAGATTGCTCAGTGGTAGAGTGCTTGCCTTGCGTGCATGAGGCCCTGGGTTCAATTCCTCAGCACCACATAAGCAGAAAAAGCTGGAAGTGGCGCTGTGGCTCAAGTTGTAGGTAGAGCGCTAGCCTTGAACTGAAGAGCTGAGGGACAGTGTCCAGGCCCAGAGCTCAGGCCCCACTACTGACCAAAAAAAAAAAAAGAAATCGAACACAGGGCTTCATGCCTGCTCCTTTCCCAGCCCAGGATTATTTTTATTTTTCTACTCTCTCCCTCTGCCTTCCCCCTCTCTCTCCCTCCCTTCCTCCCTTTCTCCTTCCCTCACTTTTTTTTTCGGGGGGGTCCGGTTGTGGAGCCTGAACTCTGGGCCTTGGCACTGTCCTTCAGCTCTTCAGCTCAAGCCTAGCACTCTACCACTTGAGCCACAATGCCACTTCCTGCCTTTTCTGCTTATGTGGTGCTGAGGAATTGGACCCAGGGCCTCATGCATGCGAGGCAAGCACTCTACCACTAAGCCACCTTCCCAGCCCTTGGAATTGGTTTTGATTGAAAAAAAAATTTTTTTTTTTGGTCATGGAACTTGAACTCTGGGCCTGGGTGCTGTCCCTCAGCTCTTCAGCTCAAGGCTAGTGCTCTACCATTTGAGTCACAGTGCCACTTTCGGTTTTCTGATGGTTTATTGGAGATGAGTCTCATCGACTTTCCTGCCTGGGCTGGCTTTGAACCATGATCCTCAAATTGCAGCCTCCTGAGTACCTAGGATTACAGGTGTGAGCCACTGGCGCCTGGCTTTTGATTGAATTTTTTTTTGTTTGTTTTTTTTTTTGGGTCCGGTCCTGGGGCCTGAACTCTGGGCCTGGGCGCTGTCCCTCAGCTCTTCAGCTCAAGGCTAGCACTACCACTTGAGCCACAGCGCCACTTCCGGCTTTTTTCTTTTTTGCTTATGTGGTGCTGAGGAATCGAACCCAGGGCCTCATGCATGCAAGGCAAGCGCTCTACCACTGAGCCACCTTCCCAGCCCTGATTGAATTTTTTAAAAATCAGGTTTGAGATTTGAACTCAGGGCTTGTGCACTGTCCCTGAACTCTTTTGCTCAAAGCCAGCACTCTACCACTTTGAGCCACAATGCCACTAAGGAATTTTTTTTTTTTTTGCCAGTCCTGAGGCTTCAAGTCAGGGCCAGGCCACAGTCTCTGAGCTTCTTTTACTCAAGGCTAGCATTCTAACATTTGAATCACAGTGCCATTTCTGTTTTTTTTCGGCTTATGTGGTATTGAGGAATCCAACCAGGGCTTAGTGTATGCTAGGCAAGCACTCTACCACTAAGCCATATTCCCAGCCCCTAGGAAGTAGTTTTAATAAGCAGCTGTTTATTTATTTATTGCCAGTCCACGGGCTTAAACTCAGGGCCTGGGTACATTCTCTGAGCTGCTTTTGCTCAAGCCTAGTACTCTACCACTTGAGCCATAGCTCCACTTCTGGCCGTTTCTGTTTATGTGGTGCTGAGGAATTGAACCCAGGGCCTTATGCATGCGAGGCAAGCATTCTACCTCTGAGCCACCTTCCCAGCCCTCCTTACCTTTTTTAATCAGAATTTTCTTCCTTAATCTTTCTACTTGGAAAGACTCCAAGCTAGAAGCACAAATAGCTATCAGTCCTGATTTCTGACTCTGCCTCTTGAAGTGTAAGAGCTTTTGAAGACAAGTAGATGACTATGACAACAGTATCTCAGGAATTTGGAAAACACCAGTGTTTTGGTGGTAAGACAAATAAACACCAAAATACCAGTGTTATCATTTTACTTTGGGATCAAATATACAGAAGTCAAACAACTTAGCAAAGAAAGGAAAATTGGGGCTAGGAAGGTGGCTCAGTGATAGAGCGCTTGCCTTGCATGCATGAGACCCTGGGTTCGATTCCTCAGCACCACATAAGCAGGAAAAAAAAGCCGGAAGTGGCGCTGTGGCTCAAGTGGTAGAAGCGCTAGCCTTGAGTTGAAGAGCTGAGGGACAGCGCCCAGGCCCAGAGTTCAAGCCCCACGACCGACAAATATAAAAGATAAAAAAAAAAAAACAAGAATATGTAAGTTGAAAGATAGACCTTGTTTATAGTTTAAATTCCAGTATTTGTTTGTTGGTTGGTTAGTCATGGGGCTTGAACTCTGGGCCTGGGCACTGTCCCTCAACTCTTCAGCTCAATGCTAGTGCTCTACCACTTGAGCCACAGCTCCACTTCTGGCTTTTTCTATTTATGTGGTGCTGAGGAATCAAACCCAGGGCCTCATGCATGCCAAGCAAACACTCTACCACGGAGCCACCTTCCAAGCCCTAAAATCCAGTATTGTAAGGCTATGAATTCTCATAACAATTCTAGTCAAAAGCCCAGAAAACTTTTGCATATGTGTGAAGATTGCAATGCTGATTTTTCAATTTTATATGGAAATGTAAGGGACCAAAAATAGCCAAACAAAAATGTCAGAATAAGGAGTTCCAAGGGACTGTCCCTGAATACAAACACTGTAAAACTGAGCAAACACTGTCAGAATCAGGGAGTTGGTAGATTATGCCTATAATTCTACTTTTCAGTAGAAAAGTAGAAAAGATCTTGATACCCTTATCTACCCATAGCTGGGGAAAATGGTGCATGTATATCTACATGAAATGCTGAGATTGAGAGGACTACAGTTCTAAGCTAACACGGGGTAGAATAGTCCATGAGACTTCTTTTCCAAGGAGAGAAGCTGGATGCAGTGGCACATCATTGTGATCCCAGCTAGAAGAGGAATCCTAAAAGTAGCAGATTGTAGGCCATGCATGTCCAGGCAGGAAGGGAGACCCTCTTTAAAAATTACCCAGGGGGCTGGGCACCAGTGGCTCATGCCTGTAATCCTAGCTACTCAGAAGGCTGAGATCTGAGGATCACCATTCAAAGCCAGCCTGGGCAGGAAAGTCCATGAAACTCTTATCTCCAATAAGCTACCAGAAAACCGGAAGTGGTGCTGTGGCTCAAGTGGTAGAGTACTCGCCTTGAGCTGAAGAGCTGAGGGACAGTGCCCAGCCCAGAGTTCAAGCCCCATAACCGACAAAAAAAAAAAAAGAAAGAAAGAAAAAAAGAAAATTACCCAGGGAATCGGAGTGCCAGTATCTCATACCTGTAATCCTAGCTACACAGGAGGTTGAGATCTGAGGACCGCAGTTCAAAGCCAGACTGGGCAGGAACATCTGTGAGACTCTTATCTCCAATTAACCACCAGAAAACTGGAAGTGGCGCTGTGGCTCAAGTGGTAGAGCACTCACCTTGAGCTGAAGAGCTCAGGGACAGTGCCCAGGCCCAGAGTTCAAGCTCCATGACCCCCCCCCCCCCCACACACGCATACACATTACCCAGGGAAATCAGGTCTGGAAGTATGCAGCAGTATTATACCAGCCTGCCAGGTGTAAGACCTTGAGTTCAAATCCCAGTATTTAAAAAAAAATGTGACTGGGCTATGGGGTTAGCTAAATGGTCAAGTACTTGCCTGGCATCTCAAAGATGGCCATTTGCATACCCAGGATAGAGACCTGGTTGTAAAGAGCAGTGCAGACCCTGTTTACATTGTGTTTATCTGTGTCTATGTACCTGGGAATTTTCTGAAAGAATGATACAGGAGGCAGAACAGCAGCCATGCACATGGTTTTCCTTGCAAACATTGGAAGGTAAATAAACAAGCTGTTGTTGCTTGGGACAAAACATTGCACTAGAGAGCCATGTGCTGGTAGCTCACACCTGTACTCTTCACTATGTGGGAGGCTAAGATTGAGAATACCATGGTTCAAGACCAGCCTGGAGAGAAGCTCACCACTATAGACTCCTTCTCAATGGACACCTGGATTGCTGTCTGGAGCGTGCTATTCTAGGTTTCCTAAAGTAGACAAATCAGGCCTGGGGTCACATTCAGGGAAGAAAAGAGACTATCTAATCTTAAAAGTAAACCAATAGAGCTGGGAGCTAGTGGATCATGGTTATAATCCTAGCAATTTGGGGGGGCTGAGATCTGAGGATTGAGGTTCATAGCCAGCCCAGGCAGCAAACTCCCTGAGACTCTTATCTCCAATTAATCACCAAAAAGCCAAAAGTGTAACTGTAGCTAAAGTGGTAGAGTGTTAGCCTTGAGCACAAAAGCTCAGGGCTAGTGCGCAGGCCCTGAGTTCAAGCCCCAGAACCAAAACCAAAAATCCCTGTAATCCTGCTACTTGGGAAGCTAAGACGAGGATCAAAAGTTTGAAGCCAACCCAAGTAGGAAAGTTGGTGAGCCTCTTATCTCCATTTAAGCACCAAAAAGCTGGAAGTGGAGCTGTGGATTAAGTGGTAGAATGTTAACCTTGAGCATAAAAGCTTAGGGCCAGGCCCTGAATTCAAGTCCCAGGACTGGCACCAAAAAGCAAAACAACTGCCCCCCCTAAAAAAATACAAATAACTCAATGAGTCTTTTGACAATCCCTGCCCACCAAAAGAAAAAAAATAACCAGTGGCAAAAAGGGCTGAAGACATGGCTTAAGTGGTTTAGCACCTGCCTAGCAAGTACAAGGCCTTGAGTTCAGTCTCCTAGTACTCCTGTAAACAAAAGAAAAGCAAACAAAGTAAAATGAAGGCTCATATACCTAGGGCAGTCTGTGTCTCCATAAAGGTTTGCAAGGTCCTTCAATTTTCACCTCTAGTCTATCTTTAACTTCAATGCCAAACATAGGCAGGGAAAAGTTGTAACTGCAAAGGTTTTTGTAGTTATTAAGGGAGAATCTCCCTATGTTTAAAGAAATATCTGTCCAATCTCTAGCTGACCACTAAACTAATGGAAGAAGACTTCAGTGTCTGCATATAACAGAATACAGTCATTTCAAAAAGGAAAGTTAAGAAGTATCAAGATGCATTATACTTATAAACTGACATGTTGAATTGAAACTCCCTTGTAGAAATATTTTTTTTTAAGTCAAGACCAGGTACCTACGGCTCACAACTATAATCCTAGCTACTGAGGAGGCTGAGATCTGAGGATTGGGGTCCAAAGCCGATCCAGGCAGAAAAGTCTATGAGGCTCTTATCTCCAATTAAGCAACCAAAAAAAAAAGCCAGAAGTTGGGACTGGGAATGTGGCTTAGTGGTACAGTGCTTGCCTAGCATGCATGAGGCCCTGGGTTAGATTCCTCAGTACCACATACACAAAAAAAGCCAAAAGTGGCACGGTGGCTCAAGTGTTAGAGTGCTATCCTTGAGCACAGAGAGACTCAGGGACAGTGCCTAACCCCTGAGTTCAAGCCCAGGAATGCCAAAAAAAATCCAGAAGTGGAATTGTGGCTTAAGTGGTAGAGCACTATCCTGGTGCAAGAAAGCTCAGAGACAGTACTCAGGCCCTGAGTTCAAGCTCAAGGACTGAGGACCGGCATGCACACAAATACCCTTACTCTCTCTCTTTCTCTCTCTCTCTTTCTCACACACACACGTACACACGCACTCACACGTGCACACAAACATACACATGCACACACATCAAAAAGCAAACCTGGGTGCCCGTGATTCATGTGTGCTATCCCAGCTATTCAGAAGGCTGAGAGCTGAGGATCAAGTTTTTAAAATTGTTATTATAAAGGTTATACCTGTACATAACCTGGAAATGTGGCTTAGTGGTAGATTACTTGCCTAGCATGCATGAAGCACTAGGTTCAATTCTTCAGTACCACATAAACAAAAAAAAGCCTAAGTGGTGGGTGCTGTAGCTCAAGTAGTAGAGTGCTAGCCTTGAGCAAAAGAAGTTCAGGGACAGTGTCTAGGCCCTGAGTTCAAGCCCCAGGACTGGCAAAAAAAAAAAGGTTATTTATTTATTTATCTATTTATTTTTGTCGGTCATGGGCCTTGAACTCTGGGCCTGGGTGACTGTCCCTCAGCTCTTCAGCTCAAGTCTAGTGCTCTACCACTTGAGCTACAGCACCACTTCCAAAAAAAAGGTTATGTATGGAGGGGTTAAAATTACATAATTTAGGTTGAGGACTCAGTTTTTAAAACCAGTCCAGGGGCTGGAAGTGTACCTTAGTAGCTTAATGGTAGAGTGCTTGCCTAGCATGCATGAAGTCCTGGATTCAATTCCTCAGTACCACATAAACAGAAAAGCCCAGAAGTGGTGCTGTGGCTCAAGTGGTAGAGTGCTAACCTCGAGGAAAAGATGCTCAGGGACAGTGCGCAGGCTTTGAGTTCAAGTCCCAAAACAGGCAAAAAATAATAATAAATAAATAAACAAATGAAACTACTCCAGGCAGGAAAATCGATGAGATTCTTTTTTTTTTTTTTTTTTGGGGGGGGGGCCGGTCGTGGGGCCTGAACTCTGGGCCTGGGCTCTGTCCCTCCTCAGCTCTTCAGCTTAAGGCTAGCGCTCTACCACTTGAGCCACAGCACCACTTCCGGCTTTTTTCTTTTTGCTTATGTGGTGCTGAGGAATCGAACCCAGAGACTCATGCATGCAAGGCTCTACCACTGAGTCACCTTCCCAGCCCCCGATGAGATTCTTATGTCAAATTAGCCACCAAATAGCTGGAAGTAGAGCTGTGGCTAAAGTGGTAGAGCACCAGCCTTGAGAGAAAAAGCAAAGGGGCAGTAACTAGGCATGTGCAAAAACAAAAAAACAAAATACAATGCAGCGAAAAGTAAAAGCAAAACAAAACAACCCCCCCCCAAAAAAGTTTTGAATATGTAAGACTTGGTTACACAATACATTAGTAGGGCTGGGAAGGTGGCTCAGTGGTAGACTGCTTGCCTCGCATGCATGAGGCCCTGGGTTCCATTCCTCAGCAACACATAAACAGAAAAAGCTGGAAGTGGCACTGTAGCTCAAGTGATAGAGTAGCTAGACTTGAGCTGAAGAGCTGAGGGAAAGCGCCCAGGCCCAGAGTTCAAGACCAACTGGAAAAAAAAAAATTAATGAGATGAGGCAGGGCAAGGTGGCAGGTGAGCTGGGTGCTGGTGGTTCACACTTGTAATCCTAACTATTTAGGAGCCTGAGATCTGAGGATCATGGTTTGAAGCCAGCCCAGGCAGGAAGATCTGTGACTCTTATCTTCAATTAACCAGCAAAAAGTCAGTAGTAGAGGTATGGCTCAAATGGTAGAGCAAAAAACAATTGAGCAAGAACGAGACTCAGAGTTCAAGCCCAGTGCTGCACGTGCGCGCACACACACACACACACACACACACCACCACCACCACCACCACCAACAACAACAAAAGAAACAAACAAAAAACATGGCATCATCCTTGGATGATCTCCTCCCTCACAGGCACACCAAGTTGACCAACTAACTACACACCAAATGCCTTTACAAGAGCTGAGAAAATCAGGTGAGAGAGCATAGTTTCTGCCTCTGGTATAATAAAATGAGAAGACACTTCAAAGAAGGCCAGAAGGAAATGTCTCATGTCTCATCCACTCCAAGCCATGATAGAGAAATGCTTTCTGGTTGGGGGAAGAAGGAAGAACTAAGATGAGTCCTTAGACTTGA